CATTCCCTAATCATAATGATTACTCGTAAAATATCGAAAAACTTTGAAAAAATTCCATGGTAGAAACACTTAAAAGAAACAAACTATACTGTGACCTACCTGGCAGGCAGACAGGGTGACAGCGTTGTGCAACGCACGGGCAGTACATGTCAGAGGCCGTCTCAAAATGTCAAGTGTCAGTATCACTGCTGGTCGAGGACTCTAGCGGAAATACAACAGGTGCAACTCGGCTGACGTTAACGCCGCCCCGCAGACGGTATTCGTCCTCGATTTTGAGAACACGGTCTTCAGCCTTTTGCCACTGGGGTAATTCTCGCTAAAGAAGCTCTTTAACGTCTGAAAGCGTGAATGTGGTATTATGGCGAGCAATAAAAGTATTACCTTGTTTTGCAGCTAGTTCGTCAGTGATGTACTGGATTTGCTTTTTTGTGCTGCCGGATTTTTTCCATGAGGTGGGGCTTCGTTTCTGATTGCCTGTAAGGCACGTTACAGGAAGTGAGAAAATCCTGCAACTTAGCTTTGAGATTGCTCATGGTGGGTGTGATGGTACCAGCGACACGCAGGTTATGGTAACTTGCGTTATCCAAAATAACGGTTGGTTCGTTCAGCTGCGGTAAAAGCTGATGTTCTAACCAATCCAAAAATACCTGCCCATGCATTTCGCTTTGGTAATCACCATCAGATTTCTTTTGCCTCAAAAACAAGTCACAACCCCCCAATCAGTCAATTGCTACGGGTACCAGCATGCAAGATGATCAGGCGTCTACTTTGCCTGATGGTAACACTGGTGCCTTAGAACAATCTGAAGGAAGCCACATCCGATCGGTTGAGTGATTTTTATTACACCAGGTTTCATCAAGGTATATAATCAATGAGGTATTCTTCAACTGTTCTGAGATAAGCTGATAGCATGGTCAGGATTGAGTACTTTTCTCTAAACACAGCTCTGTCATCTCCCCTTTTGGTGTACCTGAACCCCATTTCTACCAGAGCTACAATAAGTGTTGTTTTCGAGACATCTATTGTATCTTTGATCTCATCTTGTATTTTAGCACATGTCGGTGGGATTTTGCGTTCATACAGTTTATAAACTGCACGGCGTATGACGCCCTTATCAAAGCTATCCAGTTTGTGTTTCCTACCTAGTTTTGATTTTGACACGACCCCTGAGGTAACAGATTTGTTTACAACTTTGTAAACCTGACTATATGTCAAATGAAGGGCTTCACACATTCTATAGCAAACCCTGTCATAGCTGACGGGAGGTTTCCCCCTTTGTTTCTCCAGTATGAAATAATGATATAAATTTGAAATTAATTGTTCTGCAGAGATATCAAGTCGCATGTTGCCAGTTCAGTGCTCATACACGAAGTGAAACTTCTATGGGTGAACACGATTATTTATGCGATTTGAATTAAGACTTTTTTTACGTAATTATTTTGAATATAACTACTACAAGAGTTCCATCTTTTTCACATATAGATGTTAAAAAAACAAAACTTTACAATCATTTATGTAATTTGATTAGTTGAGGGTATATGAATAATTATAGTCGGTATTTCAAAACTACAGTTTGTACTTAGAATATTTAGGATGTTGTTAAAACGTCAAAATTTCCTCCTGTGAAGTCACCCCTCAAGTGCATTTTTCATCCGAGCTTTAATATCCAAAGAGGTAGAGTCGTACATGTATCATATATGTGCTTTTATTTTGTGTCAAAATCATCATATTGATATTGACGCCAAAAAGCATTTTCCAAGCATTTCTGGCCTTACTTTAACAATGCATATTTACCAATTGAAGGCCTCCAGAAATGTAGTGTCGTCTGCTCTTTGAATATCAGGTGAAGCTATCAATGATCGCATGTTTGGTATTCAACTTCGAGAAAAACAAGCCGTAAGATTCACCGCATCATAATTGAAAGACTGGAAAATAGGTTCTTTCATATATATTTGTTCTGTGTAATTATTTCATCTTTCATCAAAATCTTAATACGAAAACATGGCTGAAAATGGACATGTGCTCATTAGCAATAGGTGAGAACTCTTTAATTCACAACATTGGGCCAACTTGTGAAATAGATATAAGTTCATGGAAAATAGTTTTTCAAATGTTGGTCCACTGTCGAACCAACGTTTCCAAAGCCACCGTTACTTTTAAGTCATTAAGATGCCGTTGGGCCAATGTTGTGAAAACGTAGGCCAACTGACCAACCATATACCAGTAATGGCCCAACAAACCCTTGCTATCGTGTGTGTGTGCGTGTGCGTGTGCGTGCGCGCTGCATAGATTGGATCGAAGATTAATGCAGAGTGGTTATGGCTGGGAACAGGGATGGTGGAGTCAAGGTTGGATGTAGGAGGGAGGTCAATTGGAATTTCCTCCAGAAGGGATCTAGAGGTGTCCCGCCAGCTGGTCTTGTAACTTAAGACTAGCACACAGGAAGGAAAACATAAGTTTGGAATAAATTGAATATTTATTTGATATTACTTCAGTCACGAACTGAAATATAACTTCATACTGTTGTGTAACATAACTCATGTGACAAAGTTAAGCAAAGTTGCGCTTTGGAAAATCAAAAATGTTTCGTAAATATCAACAAGCCTCCCAAAAGCCACCTGTTCACCACCGCCACTTATGGTGAACATTTCAAGACCTGTCCCGGAACTAACATCTTCCACTGATCATGTACAGTTTAATACTCACGTTAGAAACGCGTTTCAAATTATTAAACAGTTAGGGCAGCATTGAAAGATTGGAAGAAATCCAGTATATACACTTCATATAATTACACCTCGAATACTCCGATCAGTGAATGAGTTCAGGTTTACGCCGCTTTTAGCAATATTCCTGCAATATCACGCAGGGGACACCAGAAATGGGCTTCACATATTGTACCGATTCATCCCGGGTCATCGGCGTGACGAGCGAACGCTTTGACCACTAGGCTACCCTACCGCCCCAACGGAAACAAATTTACATTCACGATCTTCAGCCAAGAGATCGTAACTTGCATTCAGCGATACATGGAGACCTGTACACAGAAATGGCCGTTGCTATTTGCAATGGTATACCACACCTGAACGGATGACTGTAGTATGTTTAAAACCACATCGTTCCAGGTTAGAAATTGTCTTCAGGAACCCATGCTTGCGTAGATTCGTGCTCGTGATGTTTATCATTGGGTTATCTGCTCCAGACTTATTTACAGAGAAGCGTCATATAGGCGGGATATTTCCCAAATGCGGAGTTAAATTAATATTCCATCGATGACGGGAAAAAAGGGCGTCTGGACCAAACAATCCTTCAGACAGGAGCATCAATTTACTCAATTTTATGGATGAACGACGTCAGCGTTCCCGATCACCATTTCTATCCTACAAGCATAGGTTGAAGGCCAGTTCCGTGCGGTGGGGGTAGCCTAGTGGTTAAAGTGTTCGATACCCCAGTTGTGAAGTCCAGTTCTGGTGCCCCCGCCATGGTATTGCCAAAAGCCACGTAAAACCTAACTGAAAGCCAGTTCCGAGCGTCACCGGTGACGAGAGGTGTAAACTGGTTGCACCTAGGTTTATATAACCACAGATTTGCGGTAGACATAAAAAAGTCTAGACCTGATTAGAGCTACACGGCCAGTCAGTTTCAACTCTTAGTGTTGGGACATGCAGGGAATGAGGAATATATAAAGATAAACGGGTGGTATCTTCACGGGATACAGATCTTCACGATTCCATTTAATATTTTTCAAATGAAAAACTGAAAACCAACCTGTCACATAATTTGAAATCAAGGTATTTATCATATACTCATAAGCGAGATATTGTCCTGCCAGACTTATTAGTGTTCCACTCGTGTACTTTATATAAACCTACCACACCAAGTACACTCGTACGCTTTTATATACTGAAATAAAGTCACTGCATTATGATGTTATGCCATTTCATGAAGATAAAAAAAAAAAAAGTCACATGATCTGTGGCGTTTTCTTGAAGTGTTTCACTGTTGACACAGGTATCGTGACACGCCCCTTGAGATGTGTCAAAAGTCACTTCACAAATTCAGTATCGTGTCCACCATTGGCGCTGGTGCAGGTTTGACGACGCATAAACGACACTCATCAATTGAATGCTTGGGAAATGTTCATATCTGAACCACAGGCAAATTGTAGCGCAACTAGGGTTGCGCAACAAAGAGAAAATGTCGAGTCTTTCCATATGCGAAAGAAGTGCATATGGAATGACTCGACATTTGTTGCGCAACCCTATTTCGCTATAATTTGCCCGTGATCGAGGGTTCTTACAACTTTAAAATAACTTATTTTATCTGTTTGAGTGGCATTTAGAAGTTGGTGTGATGAACAACGAGACTAGTTTCTCCCGATAGAGCTGACCCAGCGTACCTGTCCAAAAGCTGTCCTAACCATAGAGTATCTTAGATCTTATACAAATGTCGTTGCGGCGGTTTGTGGATCAGAGCCTCCTTTCACAAAGCACTAAGGTGATCGTAAGTTACTAAGGTAACTTTAGTGCAGTGTTAAAGAATGGGAGTTAAGGTTAACCTTAGTAAAGGTTGTTTCGTGAAAGGAGGCCCTGGTCCATTTAACGCCCGAGTCGTCAATAGTCCAGCTATAACCTGTGTGTAAACGCGTCCAGACAATCCAGTGATCAACTGCATGAACATGTTCAATGGCGCACCCAGCTATATGGCGGCGGTCTTAATAATCGAGTCTGGACCAGACAATCCAGTTACCATCAGCATCGATCTACGCATTGGGATAGGATGACACGTGTCTACTGAATAAGCCAGCCTGACCCTCCCCCGATCCCGTTAGTCGCCCCTTACGACATGGGTTGAAGACTCATTATAAACAAATCTTCACGCGTACCAGTACCACGAGTACATAACCTATCCGAAATTTGTGAAACCATTTTCTTCGTGTGCATGTCCAACCCGAATTGTCAGTTCAAAATAGATCTTTTAACAAAAGAAAAAAACGACTGTCAAACCAACCACCATCTGTATTTGCTAAAATAACAAAGCTGTAACGATCAAGTACAACAACGGGTATTAAAGCAAGGTTATCGGGTCAGACTCAGTCATGAGAAAGTCTGAAAAATACACGTCCGACTCTCGTCGGCGCCGGCCTGTTATTGCACACGAGCTCCCGTCGCAATTGTTCGTGCACATTGTGAAATTACATTCGAATCGAATCTTGGGATCGTTGTGCATTGAAAATGCCTTGAAGTATGGACTCGTGCTGTTCAGACCCGACGTCATGAAACCTTCGTTTTTAGCAAACACCAGACCATCTCCACAACCGGCTCGGATGATAGCGAACCTTTTATTAGTCGTCGAGCCAATAGCATCGCAGCCAACAGCCCGCACGCCGACTTCATTCCCTTGACCGTTTGACCACGCCCGAATCTGGACCATTCGGCCAATGGGCAGTGCGTACACCTGTCGGCCAAGGACGTCGATCAGATGCAGCTTGACGTAAGATCTTGCCCCCGAGCCGGCGAAAGACTCTACGATCTGTGGCGCCAGGATATTGCCCTCGATACGTTGGGTAGGAGACTGGTCACTTCCTTTAGCACCAAATGTACACGACAACTGAAACAAGTGCCTGGCTTTATTAGGGAACTCGTGACATTCGGCAAATAGAACAGACTAGACAATTCACAATTATAACGTTGCCGATATGCTACTCACTTTGCCAAGGATCACAAATTCACAACTATACTTACATTACTTGATTTATAATTTGAAATTGTATCCATTTAAAAATTGGAAACATATGGTAACCCCTCTTTAGGCAAACAACCACTTTAACCTTATGCCCTTGATACATACGTAACCATAAATATGGTTTTCCTATCACCAACCAACCATTTTGCAAATGATGGAATAAGTCATTAACAAATAAACACATGTGAATAGCAGGTATGGGATCCACAAGATGCAGCGACATATTGAAATCTAGTACCCGTGCTTACAATAAGCTTAGGTATTTAAACTTTAAAAAATTAGTTCTACCCCACATCATAGTTTAATCCGTGATTTGATCCTTAGCAAAGCGTGAATAGTATATACTCCTCACAAAAAATTAACCAAGTATTCTGTGTAATATCTTTATCAATCTCTATGGCATGTTACTGAAAGGTAAATATTTAAAGAATACATAACCCTTAGTGACTGTCAAATTGATTTTTCTGATAACATTTACAACATAACCCGAACACAACCAAACTCCGAAATATACAAAATGTGTGGCATGAATGTCCTCCACTCTTCACACATGCACCCTGATCGGTGTAAACCTACCTGTAATATTCCTCTGGCACCACAAGCTTGTCCAAATTTTATGGATGATAATACCGTCCATTGATGATAATGCCCGAGAAAGGTGTTCAATATGTTCTTTAGGTCAACACATTTGGACTGGCCTGCAAGGTCACTTGATCTTAAGACTTAATCCCATTGAACATGCTTGGGACATTATTGGAAGTCGTGTTTACGGTCTCCATGTTCACCCCCAGACTCTGGATGACCTGAGCAGGCGTTACACAGAATGGCAGAACATTCCAAAACAGCAACTTTAAAAGGCTCATTTAGTCAACGTGAAGACTTAGAATCTTGCATTTGTGCTCATAGGCGTTACTGAACACGTCCAAAACTGACTTGAACCTTAATGTTAACATTTTGTTCCATCCAGCACATTTTGCACGACCGTTTCGCGGGTACATGCTTTTGATTTGTAAGTATCATTGCTCAATACCATTTAATGACACTACGAATTTGTGTTACTTAACTTTGTGAGGAGTATAATTCGGCCCTGTAGGGATGTCCTGTAATAATCTTGCTTGTGTTACTCTTTAGAAAAAACAAACGAAAAACGAAAAAGAGTCGCTATATGGCTGACAGTGCAGATGCGACGTGAAAACCCAGGCCCCCCCAACTTCAGATCTCAGCCGAGTACTTTCCTGGTTTTGTATGCAACAAAGCTCGTATTTCAAATACATTTAGCTCACCTGGTATTCTTTGCTGTGCTTGTGGACAACTGCACCCCGTCGACCCCAGGAGATCTGGACAGTGATGACATACACCCGAGAGTTCTGTCTCCTGTTGAAGACGCAGCCAGTCTTGGCGTTCCCGCTGTACTTGACCGGCAGCTTGTAGTTCACCTTATCATTGTTGGTGTTGGTGAAGACGTATTTCCTCCCATACTTGCATATGGCCCGGAAGTCGGCATCAACGTCGGTAACGCCCGTCACATAGGCAGGAGAACCAATAGATTTACCACAGTGGGGCACGACCTTCAAAATGTAATCGTCTGTGATGGGTGGGCAATAGGTGATACTTCCGCTTCCGATGTATTCAAAAGTGCTGTACTTGAAGAAATGAATGACGACCGATTTAACTGGGGGTGGGGGTGGCGGCGCAGCACCCCTCTTGGCCCGGGCCGGAAGGTGGTTATACACGCACTTCTCGTTTACCTTGCCGGCAAGGAATATCTGCACCTCAAGAGGAGTGTTTGGTTTAATGATGTAGGTGTAGCGAACACCGCTGCAGTCAATAGCCGCCACGATTTTCACGGGCTGAGGAATAAATTCAACATCATTTGAGGCAACCCCGCAGCGTATCCACACGTAATCCTTGATGTCAGAAACGGGTGTTACTGGGTACGAAGGCAAGGGCGCGGTCAGCCGAGGGGTTGGTCGGAGAGGTTTGGGGCATTTCAAGAGCAGCTTGCCTACAGAGTATTTGCCATAAGCGAGCACATCCACCTGAACATAATACCCAGAAGAGGTACTCTTCAAGACGCATTTGGAGTTCACCGAGCCGCTGTACCAGACGTTCATGTGGAAAGGGAGGGGATACATGCCCTTGAAGCGGTCCTTCCCTCCCTTACAGATGGGACTGAGGACGAGGGCTCCATGGAGGGGGTGCAGCTTGTCGGATATGACGAGACTGTTGGGTATAGGGGTCTTGCCCGAGCAGGTCAGGTGGGCAGCGTTTACATTCAGGGTGATCGCACTGCACAAGTACACCTGAAAAGACATCCATATTTGTTAAAAAGTGACGATTTTCACGTTTGGAATTCCTGCAGAAATTCCGGAGAAATAAATGTGGAGATGAGCCAAACTGGTTAATTTGATTTTGCACATACAACGGACAGATTCATTCCTGTGTTACAAATTATTAACAATTCTACATCTTGTTCCAATTATAGAGGTAGACTAGATCTAGTCTGAAATGAACATTTCATAGAAAATTGTAAATTATTGTTCACAAGATGTACTAACAGGAGCCCAGATCCTCTTGATTTTCAAAAACCTAAAACTTGCTACATATTCTAGACTTCCATTGGGTGCATTAGGTATGAGATGAGATGAAATTGGGTTTTACGTCGTACTTGAGAATGTTTCTCATATGACGACGTGCATGCGTGTGTATGTGTATGTGCGGCTGCTTGCACTAGCCCAGACTGAAGCTGGTTTTATATAGTGCTAGCCCACAGATACTAGGCCGCAGTGAAGCATGAATACCCCACTCAGACATACTGACTCCGACCAGTCCTTGCTGTACCCATTAATGCCGAGAGCCAGGCAGGGTCCAACAAGTACCATATTTTAACTTCTTTTGGTATGACGCGGTCGGGGATCGAACCCGCGATCTTCCGCGGACGCTCTAACCACTACACCACGGAGGCGGTCCTGCTTTAGGTATGTTTCAGGCTTTGCATTAAAGATTAACATAGGCCGCAATAGTGCATATAGCTGACGATTTTGAAAATGACGGCTTTTACCAGAAAATTGTTTCTAGTGTCAAATATAATATTTGAAGAAAAAACAACCACTAAATATTTAGAGTCCAGTAGTTGTAATCCAAGATGGCTGCCTACATTGAAATGTACTGCATTTCTGAGCATGTTATTAATTCATTGAATTCAGATCTGTTCTGGTTGGTTGTAAATAGTCGAGGCTGGACCAGACAATCCAGTGATCAACAGCAAGATCATCAATCTACGCAATTGGGAACCGACGACATGTGGCAAGTCAGCGAGCCTGACCATCCGATCCCGTTAGTCGCCTCTTACGACAAGCATGGGTTACTGAAGATCAATTCTAGCCCGGATCTTCAGTTTCTCAGTTCTAGCTATCCATTAAATATAACAGGATCCGCACAGACTAGAATCTTAAAATATACAAGCAGTCCTGTTTCCAAATTGGGTATTCGACAGCTGGTTTGCATTCAAAAAAGTTCCGTCACGTCAATTTAGAAACCTTCCGATGAAGTTCATGTTGAAAATATACTTCCCTTCAAAAGTTTCGACTCACTCACTAATTATATAGATATTAATAAAATAGTACTGTCGGAAATAGAAAACTATTTTCTCATTTATCTCTACAATTTATGTAGTTATGTGAAAGTGAAATCTGTTAAACTATGTTCGGCCTAACTACAGTCTCAGTGGTAGGTAGATAGGAAACTGAGAAAAAGGACTTTACTGAGGGGAAATTTGTGCAGAAATGAGCAATGCGGGTTTTTTTCTAAGTCCAAAAAGACGTATTTGGAACAGATATGGCTTTATGCAAATTAGTGTGCGACGATATTGTATTACAAAGGACACTTTAAATGCCCAATTTGAAATTAGACGTAGATTCATTATAAACGATAGCTGACGTAAAAAAATAATAACTTTTTATGCCGAAACTATTAAGGATGTAGCTACCATGCAGTCTCACCGTCACTATAAAAAGAAACAGATAGGAGGGGTCGCCTCAAAAGCAAAACCTGGGGTCGGGCTTGGGATAGAGGTATCAGCTAAGATAAGATAATCCTTTAGGGCAATTATACTGGGGAGGTACACGGCACGTCATAACAATTCACAAATATCCAGTCCTGTCGATCTTCGGGTGGTCACGCCACCTATATACTACGATACGTTTCTATGGTTTTCGGGTATCATACTTTTACATATCTCAACATAAACTTTATGAAAGAAAGACACGTAATATGTTAATCAGTAGATGAGACTGTCAACACACATGAAAATGCACAAAATATCTTTGAGATGACAACCTTGTGCCTGTAGGCAGCACGTGCATTTCATGCCAGGTGAGTCGACGGTCCGTCCTCATACCTTGCTGAGCGACCTAATTGCCATCTATAGTCTGATCTTTTGCCCGATTTTACGAGTAAACATGCTTTTCTGGATATCGTATTACGCATCCCACTGAACGCCCAGTTAGGCCGAAGTGGGTTATTTCGACATATGCTATTTGCAATTGTGTACATTTTAGGGATACAGTAACAGCTTAAAAACAGTTTTCTATTTCCGACAGTACTTATTTTTAATTTTATAGTTACATCAAGATAGATTTCTCCACTAACTTGGGGGAACCAACTGCACATTTATGCAGCCTAATTGCACGAGGATCATGCAAATTACTGATAAGCATGTGCAAATATCGTTCATGTGAACAGCTGCGTTGTGGTGTAAAGATTTAATACGCCAATTTTCATCATTTACTGAACTCATGACAATCTTTTCAACGTTACGAATTTGTTTTTACAATACATCAGTTCATGTGTAAACAGTACCTTTAAACTGTGGCATGTTGCCAAGTTTAGTTGCCAGAAGTAAGTGGCTATATTTACACTATAAAGTCTAAACTATGAGAAGTATATATTGTGACCTTTACAATTTTCAATGTCGTTAACCTTTAGTAATAGCGTTAATTTGAGTTAGGATCCTAATATTGTTTCAAATCGTGAGTAATGTCTACAAATATCTCCAGTATTCATTAGTTTTTAAATCCGACGTGGACCGAAATGTTCAAATGTTAAATCAACCCGTGGATGTCTATGTCCCAAACACATAAAAATTACACGATGGTAGAATTGCCCAAAAATCTAAAGTGGGAGTTTAGTCTTACGCCGCACTCAGCAATATTCCAACTATATGGCGGCTGTCTGAAAATAATAGAGTCTGGACCAGACAATCCAGGGATTAACAGAATAAACATCTACCCAATTGGGATATGACATGTGTCAACCCAGTCAGCGAGCCTGACCACCCGATCCCGTTAGTCGCCTCTACGACAAGCATGGGTTACTGAAGATCAATTCTAACCCGGACCTTCACGGGTCCCAAGAGTCTTAAGAGAATAGTTTAAATGATATTTGCAAGTACTAGCCACATAAAGAAACTGCACACAGAAAATTCCTTCAGAATTGGAATACAACACAAAAGACGACATGATGTAGACACTTTATAAGCTGAAGTATCGGGCCTCAACATGTCAAAAGAACATGAACAATATCCGTAACGATGACGTCAGAAGTTCAAAATTGAGTCGGGGGTCACACGTCGAAGTCACAAAGTCAATAACGGGTATGACTACCATGCGCGTGAAGCACAGCAGTGCATAGACGCATAGAGGCTACCAAAGTTTCCAAATGAAGGCCTGGGGAATGGTTTGGGACGTGGTCACTGCCGTCTGGAACCTGTGTCTGATATGAGTCATCCGAATCCATCTGTCCTGGCGTCGTTACTCGGGGACGCCCAGAACGTGGGTGGTTGGCGACGTCATTACTGTTTCCCTAACGCCTGACCAATGCAGATATCGTGTTACGATGGCATTGGAAATGTGCTGCCACCTGTTGGCTCATGCCTGCTCGAACCATTCCAATGGCTTCATGACGTTGAGCACATGTTAATCTTGGCATGATGTGCATCTGGCTTTTCATGTGAATTTGTGAACGTTTGAATGACCAAAGATCAAGCTTTCGACAGTGACATCAATTTCTGAGTTTCACATGTGTGCAGCTGCACGTGCAGTAACACATTGCAAGTCCATAGGCCACCACCAATGACGTCACGGTGCCTGGCACCTGCATGAGCGTTTGATTGTCTCCAATACTTGCTATGTTCACACCTGTATATATGCATAAAGACGCTGTCTGCCTATCTTTATATTTTTTGTGTGCACAGTTTATAAATATAAAATGGCCAGTATATAAATATCCCAACAGACTGGCTTCCTTAGCACTTGTATTGTCCCCTTATCTGGAATTGCCTCATTAAAGGAGAGAATTGCTATACACCCATGGGCTTATCCTTCAGTACAGCCTTGAACAAGGTAAAACAAGGACTAAGTACTCTGTGTGGAAGAAACAGGCGACTGAGCGTGCAGTTCGAGATGCCATGGGCAGGCGACGTAGGCTAATATATACTAGGCACATAAAGAAACTGCATACAAAAAAATTAAAATCTAAATTTATCAAACCTGTGTAGACAAGGATTCAAACTCAGATTAATGACATGTATCCAACATGCATACACGTGCCACGTTCCGTGACGTCAGTGAGTTCGTCGTCGAGACGTGCAATACGTTGTTGCACGTGCATTCCGGGAAAGAGCAAATGAATGCCATACAATACTGTCACTTTGGAAAGCTCAACCCCTGCCCTTGCGATCGTTCAAAAAATTAAACGGCTATTGAAACGCATAGCATGCCAAGGCTCACGTCTGCACAACGTCACGAGGCCATTGGGATGGTCCGTGGGGGGAATGTCTCACCGACAAGTGGCTGCACATTTCCACCGGAACACCATTTCTGCACTGGTGAGACGCTACCAGAACACAAATGACGTCATTGATCGGCCACGTTCTGCACGTCCACGTGTAACAACGCCAAGACAGGACATATGGATAAGGGTGACCCATCTGCGCCATAGGTTTCAGACTGCAGTGATGACTACCCAAACCATCCCAGGACTTCGCCGTATCCACCCCAACACAGTTCGACAACGTTTACGTCATCACGGGATCAGACCAAGACGTCCCGCCATATGGCCTATCCTGACACAACGTCATCGACAAGCTCGCCGAATGTGGTGCCGAAATCATGTCCGCAGACCTTTGTTTTGGTGGAGAAATGTTTTTACAGACGAGTCCAGTTTAACATTTCCCATAGTGATGGACGTCAATGTGCCTACAGACGCGTGGGAGAACGTTATGCACAGGCCTGTGTCTTGGAGAGGAATCGCTTTGGTGGTGATTCCGTGATGATTTGGGGTGGAATAACAGCACGCCAAAGAACTCCTTTGGTGATTGTTCAGGGCAACTTAACTGGTGTGGGTTACAGGGATCAGATTCTTCGACCTGTGACAATTCCTTTTCTGCAACGTCATGGCCCTGGGTTAACATTCCAACAGGACAATGCCCGCCCTCATACGGCAAGGGTTGCTATGGATTTCTTGCATTTCAACGTTGACTTACTGCCTTGGCCTGCAAATTCACCGGATCTCTCCCCGATAGATCATGTTTAGGACGAGATGGATCGACGTCTACGCCGTCTTCCTCATCCGCCATATAACGTCCTTGACCTTGCACCAGAACTTGAGAGAATCTGGCGCGACATCCCACAAGCCTTCCTTGCACGTTTGGTAGGCTCTATGCGTCGATGCACTGCTGTTCTCAATGCCGATGGTGGACATACCCGTTATTTAGCCTGTGACATGGTCGTTTGACGCCTGTCCCGCTTGTGGACTCGTGACGTCAATGTGATCGACTTTAAAAATTGAAATTCTCCCGACTTGTTATGGTCTCATGATCCCTCCATTAAAGTTTATATGTACCTTTGACATTGTTATCGTACTTATCAACTGGGATAATATACTGAACAGCAAAAGAAACGCAAGTCTGGCTTTGTCAATTTTTGAATAGAAGACAACCCAAATTATGTCTAATCATTTATTCTATAGAAAACACTGTCAATGTAACAGCTAAAAGTTACTGTTGACATTGAATTGCAATAAGTTCAAATTGATCAGTCCGTCAAATGGAGATACCCCTGAACGCGGAAAGTGACAGTCTCTTTAGTAGCGCGTATAACCACCTTGAGCTTGCACAGGCCGTGCAACGTGGCCTCATTGAGTTCAATAGAGTCTGAAAGAATGCTTGAGGCAAATCTATTCCAACTGTGCAAGTGCGAGTGGCTGAACCTGCAGCAGCAATCCTCCGTCCAATTTCGTCCCAGAATGTTCAATGGGAGCCAGACGTTAAGGTTGTTCTGAGCCAGATAATCCATCGACACCCTTGCTCTGCGAGGACTGCAAACGTCGCTGGCGTTGACGTGCCAAAATTGGCCCCACATATGGCCTTCGGCAGTGGATTCCAGCTGCCCGAAGACGCCTTATCGTATCGCTTGGCACTGCTCCCCTTGACCTAAGAACAAAGTCTGCTGTTACTGTTGCTGCTTGAGTTCGGTTCCTTAGATGAGTGACCCGGATGAACCGATCTTGCGCATGAGTTGTCACTCGTTGCCGTCCGGTACGGGGACGATCAGCAGCAACCCGCTTTCCTGATGACGTTGAGCAAGTCGTGTAATGGTGGTCAGATGACAGCCCAATTGTCTAGCTACAGCGGTAGCAGTGCTACCTCCGTGTAACTTTCCAATGGCCATTCCCCTCTGCTCAGTCGTTAGTCTAGGCATCGTTTGTGTGGCGTGTACACCTAGCGTCAATACTGAACTGTCTTTTGACACAAACCTTTATAAAGGATACCTCAGAGAAATGCATGCTTTTCATCCATAAACTTCGATGCACGTGCTAAAATTATGGTTTTGCTGCACTGTTGGTGTGTTTGTGCGAATGTTTCGTATGGACGTCAAATTGCATGACATAATCTCATATGGGATCATTATGTCACTTTACCATGAACGTTCCATAAACATGAACGCTTACCTTCATGAGATTTCATTTTTTCGAAACTTGCGTTTCTTTAGCTGTTTAGTATATTTTGACAATGCACAGTTTTTTTGTGGCTAGTATATATACTGAGTCAAAAAAGAAACTTCACATTCTTTCTTCAGGGCACTATAAAAGAACAAGAGATGGTAAGATGGTTAAATTGTTATTATTTCATTGCTGAGATCTGATGTACTCGATACACTGAACGTGCCATAATCAGTTCCATTAGGCTACACTGCCGTTCCAAAACATGGGTATACAGAATGTCAAGTCACAATATGGACGTCGAGAATGGAGATTGGCAGCCCGCAACCGATTTCGAATGGTCTGTGAGGACAGTCGACCTCTAAACATCAGCCCTGGTTCGTGTAGCGGCAGAAATCTGTCACGTAGGTGACGTAGGACGATTTGACGGTCTTCTGCTCGTGACGTCACACGTGGACGACCCGACCTTGGGCGATCAGAAGTGGTGCCAGTTTGTTGTAGACGACCTCGCAAGTCATACACAGTACGACGGCTGCATCCCATTGCTCTTGCGACGTCAATAACTGATCTTCCCGCTTGCAACATGCCAACGGCACGTTCACGTTGCACATTTGACAATCGTGGCATTTCAAGTACCGTTAGAACTGGTTTAAAAGTGTTTTTTCAATTCTTGAGGCCAATGCAAACACGTGCATATGAAGAAAACTTCGATGCGAAGATCACGTGATCGACTGCACGTGCAAAACCTGATTTGGCACTAACGTCATTTGCACGACGAATGGATGGGTTTGAGTGGGTTTTGCTAACGTTTTTCTAGAGTCGAAAGAGGGATCCCATTTCGGATACATAGATGTATCAGAAAAATTATTCATTATTTTTCAAATTACATTTTGTGAAGTTTCTTTTTTGACTCAGTATATTTAAATGAGCTCTGGTGAGATTCAGAATCTAGACTTGCTTCATTTAGGGCTTTAGCATTGCAGGGAGGGCTAGGCTGCAGGGAAAGTGATGTGATCGAGGCTAGTGACTGTCAGAAGGGAACGAATAACGTAAAGCTTGTTAATGACGGAATAGGTTATGGGGTGTAGGTCTACCTACCTGTCGGTGACGAGACGTTTATAGTTGGTCTCATCCTGGCACATTTCTCTGGATATCTTAACACGTGCGTGTTAGTGGTTAGTATGTGAGTGAGTGAACGACAATATTGTCGATTTCATGTGGCATAGTATAAATATTTTCTTCATTTAGAACCACATTAAGATTCATTGTTCAAGTGTAACCATGTCCGCTTTGATTTGTCTAGAGATGTAACGTCTTCAGGTTAAGAAGCATCCATTTAACTTTGGCGTTTTCTTCCGTCAAACCACCATTGCCAGGGACGAGCCCACGATTCTTAACTTGTGAAATTCAGAATTTCCAACTCAATTTGTTCTAAGAACATGAATAATAAAATTGACAGTTAAAAGTATATTGTAGTTGAAAATATATATCTCAAACATTTTCATTGTCGAAATAGATTTTGAACAGTAAATATTGAAAATATCTCACATAATCACAACGTCAAGTTTTGGAATGTCCAAAGTTAAGAGCAATTGTATTCGAAGCCACACCATCAGAGTCGGGCACCTAGTCGTCAGCCGCCTAATCCGCTGGCAGATTAGCTGGCTTAGTGGGTTAGACGGCCGACTGTGCTGGAGATTAGGTGCCTGACCGAGGGTGTGGGTTAGAATTCCGGATTTGAAACACCAACAAAAGGACTAGAATCTGTACTATACCGAGAGTTTAATCCCAGATGCAACATGTTACACACGGTAAAATGTTTAATTTGAACTAGGGCTGGTTCAGGGTAACAAAATTATAATCCAGGGGTAACGATAGTTTGTCTCACAGTCCCTGAACCGTATTATGTTTCTTTCTGCCTAGCCCTTTCCGCAATACTAAAGCTCTAAATAAGCAAGTCTATATTTCCTCGGGTCCTGAATCCTCACCGAGGCCCTTTCAAATTTACATAGGGTTATTGGTTACTATCAAATTATATATACTACTCACTTTGCCAAGGATCGTAAAAAAAACTTTACTTTAACGTAGATTTATAATTTGAAATTGTATCCATTTAAAACTGGATATGGTAACACATCTTTAGGAAAACAAGACACTTTAAGCTAACCGTATGCACTTGATACATGAGTAACCATAAACATGGTTTTCATGGTACCAACCAACCATTTTGCAAATCATGGCACGGGCCATTGATAAGTACACCTGTCAGCATGTACGGGATCCACCAGATGAAATGACATACTGAAAACTTGGTTCCAATAGGCTTTGATATTTAAACCCAATTTGACCCCACATCAGTTTTCTGTTGAATCAATGATTTGATCCTTAGCAAAGTGTGAATAGTATATATTCAGAGACTATGGCTTAGTCCCGGTCATTTTCCGTATAATTTATCAAAGAATTGACCGAGGTTACGAACTCGCGGATATAACGAACTCGCGGATAATAACGAACTCGCGGATATAACGAACTCGCGGATATAACGAACTCGCTTTGTGGTCCCGTGTGTTCTCGGCCTACGTTAATGTTCATAGCCGTTATGTACTGTTATATTCGTAAGCAAATTAAAAACTCGGTAACAAAGGGAGCACCTTACCTGGGCAAGCACCAACAACGCAATAGCAAGCAGTGCCATGACAGATGACTTCGATAGTAACTACAAAGATTCGCTCCGAGCCACTGTCACGTTGGCCTATCATGTTCTTTTATATCCCTGAGATGCACGTGCGCTAAAAGCACGTGCAATTTTACCTAAACAATGGGAAAGTTGCGTTTTGGCTCGCCAACCACGTTCGTGGTTGGCGGTTCATTGATCCTATTCTGATGCAGCTTAAAGGAGGAATCGCGAAGCAAACTTTTATTAACTTGTCTCATTGATGTATTTTAATTTTGTTTTGTACATCGCAGAGTGTGTCCTAATACAGGACTCGGGACTCATATTTTCAGAGAAACAACGATAGTGATGACCGGGGATAATAACTTATGTATCGAGTGAGTGAGTATGGTTTTACACCGCTTTCAGCAATATTCCAGCAACATCACGTCGGGTTGTCTGGAAAGAAATCCTCGCACCCTAACAATATTAAATGACAGGTCCTACATGATGCACGACGAGTTAGCTTCTACTCGATATAGTGAGTGATTGAGGGGTTTAGTTTTACGCCGGTGCATGGTGCTGCTATACCATACCATAATCACGGCGAGTATTTCAACTGAACCTGCAACGTGAGATCCTTGCATTCCCAAGGGACAAGCCTCTTTTGCGTCAGGGGCGGTGGGGTAGCCTAGTGGTTAAAGCGTTCGCTCGACACGCCGAAGATCCGGGTTCGATTCCCCACATGGCTACAATATGTGAAGCCCATTTCTGGTGTCCCCCCGCCGTGATGTTGCTGGAATGTTGCTAACTGCTGCGTAAAACCCAATCACTCGCGGGCGGTGGGGTAGCCTAGTGGTTAAAGTGTTGGCTCGTCACGCCGAAGACCCGGGTTCGAATCCCCATATGGGTACACTATGTGAAGCCCATTTCTGGTGTTCCCCGCCGTGAGGTTGCTGGAATATTGCTAAAAGCGGCGTAAAACCCGACTCACTCGCTCACTCACTCAATTCAATCGCGCACTCGCTCTATTGCGTCAACTGAGATATCCTCCCTAACCACACACTACCGTTGGCTGACATGGCCAGATTTTATTATTAAACAGTTACTAACGACACGTGTCCGACTTATCAATTGTTGGACCAATTTATGGTGAAGTAAACATTTGCCTGGAGAGCAGAAGGTCGGGTGTTTGATATCCAGCCAAAAGACCTTAAGAAATGGTACTTATTGTTACCCTGGCTTAGCATTAGGGAATATTACAAGGACTGGTCGGTTCGGAGTCTGTTTACTGTACCTTAGTCGGGTATTTGCGGAATAGTACTCTATTTGGGTAGCACTATACAACCAGTATTAGTCGGCACGAGAAACAACGCGTGATGCTCGACGCACACGTGCGCGTGTGTTTTATTTTCAAGTGATGGGTAATCAATGTAATCAGTCACAAGTAATTGAGTGAGTTGGGTTTTACGCCGGTTTTTGCAATACACCAGAAATGGGCTTCACACATTGTGCCCATAAGGGGAATCGAACCCGGGTCTTCGGCGTCACCACTAGGCTACCCCACCGCCCCTAATCAGACAGGAATGCAAAAGTAGTAGAGCATATGAGTTGCACTTAGCATTGTCCATAATGGTAGAAATTTCTGTGTAATAACTTTCCGATATGTACACAGTGTGTGTTAGCTATTCTTAAAAAAAATGTTGAAGTAATACTATGTCACAAACACACACACCCTCTATCTTTCTCACTCTCTCTCACTCTATCTCTCTCTCTCTCACTCTATCTCTCTCTCTCACTCTATCTCACTTTATCTCTTTCACTCGCTCTCTCTCACTCTATCTCTTTCACTCTCTCTCTCTCTCTCACACACACACATACGCACGCACACGCAGCACGCGCACACACAAAGGAACTAATAAACTCCATTTCATCTCAGCTTCTGTGTTTGATGAAGAACACAATACTATCATTCATTCAACGAGGACATTCGACGAGGACATTCAACGCGTGTCTCTTTAACTATCCACCTGTTGCTGATCAGCAAGATTGTCCTTACGTTTCATGACCCGTGAAGATCCGGGTTAGAATTGGTCTTCAGCAACCCATGCTTGTCGTAAGAGGCATATATCGGGATCCGGTGGTTAGGCTCGCTGACTTGGTTGACACATATCATCGTGTCCCAGTTACGTAGATCGATGCCCATGCTGTTGATCACTGGATTGTCTGGTCCAGACTCGATTGTTTACAGACGGTGCCATATAGCTGGAATATTGCTGAGTGTGGCTTTAAACAACAACCAACCAACCAACCTTGTCATACGAGTGAGTGGGTGAGTTTAGTTTCATATGAATTCAACTTCAACAGTTAAATGCAGCTTTTTATTTGTTTTCCAACATCCTGTCGTCACTCTTACGTTTGTACATCTTCAAGACTGTAATTCGCCCGTTTTCACATTTTTCCAAACTGTTACTTGAAGAATTCTTTGGTTAGCAAAGATCTGGTGCGGTGATACGGCCGATCTACTCGTGATCTCTGTCTATTCATGCGTAATTTCGGCATAGGTCATCTTTTTCTATGTACTTTTCATCACAACCAGAGCATAGACAAATATGATATATGAAATATGAAATGTTATCATTTGTTTTCGGTCAGTTTTCACATGTCATTTGGCGAGAATCGCTTCACGAAGCATTGGGAGTTAGTGCGTTAAAATTTAGAAGTCACATCGGCAATAATTCAGCCATATTGTGACTGTCGAATGTAGAAGACGCCCATACGAATTCTTCAATACCAGTGAAGATCCGGGTTAGAATTGAAACCCATGTTTGTCGTAAGAGGCAAATAACGGGGTCGGATGGTTAGGCTTGCTGACTTGGTCGACACATGTCATCGTTTCTCAGTTGCGTAGATCGATATTCATGCTGGTGATCACTGGATTGTCTGGTCCAGACTGGAATATTTACAGACCACCGCAATATGTACACAGCAGGAATATTGCTGAGTGCGGCTTTAAACAACAAACCAACAAACCAACGAATTCTTCAAATACACTTGTTTCTTTTGGTTTTACAAGTCTCCAAGCTAACTTTTACACCGCGCTATTTCTCCGTTCAGGGCCCCGTTCCTCAAAGCGATCGTAGCGCTACGACAGTCGTAGGTCTATGTTAAAGTATGGGAGTTACGATCACCTTACCGCTACGACAGTCGTAAGTCTATGTTAAGGTATGGGAGTTACGACTGTCTTAGCGCTACGATCGCTTTGAGGAACGGGACCCAGGTTAATACCACTAATCGCAACGTCGCAGTGTTTGGAAGTTCTGGGAATGATCAAGGGAAGTAACTCTGTTGGAATTCCTGAAGGTGAGAAGTGTGGTATGAACCCCGTAGCATCATGTGGTGGCATATGCGCCGTACTATCGGCGCGCTGACATGTTCCAGCTTTGCTGTCCCGTCCATTTTTCTGATACGCGCGAATTGAGTGGAAGTTTCTTCAAGAGAGTAGCAAATACTTTTATCAAAGGAAACGGTAAGTCAAACATTTGAATTCTAACCGGTTCCACTTGTCGGGTGAGTGAGTAAATGGCTACGATCACTCTGAGCCCGTGTTTGGAGCTGACGCGATCTATTTATAACTTTCTGTATATGTTTCGATGGTCGTTTGGCGTCTATTTAAGTTCATGTTTAATGCTTTAAAAGTTTACAATACGGCTTTGTGTGTTAGGAACACATATTCTGTTCCAACCCTGTTGACAGAATGCGAAATTCTTGAAGCTGAGCTACTGTACGTGTGCTGTATATAATGAAGTCACTGTTGAGTGACTCTATACGGCTAAAGCACTATACTGTACTTTTATTGAGGATTTATTTTGGTACTTTCGAATCAATGTCAAGTGATTCCGACATGCACAGTACAATCTTGAACGTTTACTGCTGCTAGCATCTCACTCCTTGCAATTGTAGACTGAGAGTAAACTCTGTTTACTGTATAAATATGTAAATTTAAAACCTAACAGAGACAATACTTCATATATTTGAGCTTGGTGTGTTTGACATCTCAAACCTTTTAGTTGAGTTAATCAGATCCTCTAGGAATATATCTAGGAACTCCTGGGCTTATAGCTAGGATCTCCTGGGCTTATCTAGAATATACTAGACTTCTATCTAGGCTGCCCTGAGCTTCTATCTACGATCTTCTGACCTTCTATCTAGAATCTACAGGACTTCTTTCAAGGCTCTCCTGAGGTTACATCTAGTATCTAGTGAACTTCTATCTAGGATCCACTGTGCTTCAATCCAGGATCTACTTATTTTCTGTCGAGAATCTACTGAGCCTCCATGATGGATCTCATGGGTATATATCTAGATCTCTACCAAGATCTCTTGTGTCTCTACTAGGATCTCCAGGGCTTCTCTTTAGACTATTCTGGACTTATATCTACATCTCTACCAAGATCCCTTGTGTCTCTACTAGGATCTCCAGGGCTTCTCTCTAGACTATTCTGGACTTATATCTAGATCTCTACCAATATCTCTTGTGTCTCTACTAGGATCTCCAGGGCTTCTCTCTAGATTATTCTGGACTTATATCTAGATCTATACTAAGATCTCTTGTGTCTCTACTAGGATTTCCAGGTCTTCTCTCTAGACTATTCTGGACTTATATTTAGATCTCTACCAAGATCTATTGTGTGTCTACTAGGATCTCCAGGGCTTCTCTCTAAACTATTCTGGACTTATATCTAGATCTATACTAAGATCTCTTGTGTCTCTACTAGGATTTCCAGGGCTTCTCTCTAGACTATACTAGGATTTCATGGGGTTCTATCTTACTGGGCATATACCTAGGATCTCTTAGCTTATAATCTATTATCTACCAGGTTTCAATGTTGGGATTCTATCCAGGTTTTACCAACTTTGATCTAAGATATCACGGGCTGATATCTGGTGTCTTTGAATTTATATCTAGGATTTACTATCTAGGATTCTATACAGGATGTATTGCATTATATCTTGTATGTCCTGAGCCGATGCTAGTATTCCCTGGGCTTTTTTCTAGGGCTTACTGGGCTTACATCTAGGATCAAATGAGCTTGTATGTGCGATCCCCTTGTGTTTAGGATTGTCTGGACAGATGCAAGCATGAAATCATTAGGTTAAGGAATTGTATGCATTTTGTATCTTGTTGAAGTTTTTTTGTGTTTCTGATCTTCATTGTGATGAATAAATAAATAAATAATAATAATGTCACTTATAAAGCGCAAATGTCCACACACTTATGAATGCTCAATGCGCAGAAGTGAGTAAAAGAGTCAGTCATAGGCACTTTGATACAGGTGAGTTTTAACTTTTGACTTGAAGATTGAGAGAGATTCACATAATTTGATTTCTAAAGGTACAGCGTTCCAAAGAGTTGGTGCAACATAGGAGAAAGCCCTGTTCCCATACAAAACTAGGTGGAATTTGGGAACTTGTAGTAGGGGCTGATTCTGGGACCGGAGTGATCTTGATGGAATGTATTCTGTGATGAGTTCAGTGAGATATTCTGGAGCTTGATTGTGGAGACAACTGAAAGTGATGCAGAGAAGTTTGAAGTTGATTCTCTGTTGAATAGGCAGCCAATGTAAGGATTTGAGAACAGGAGTGATGTGATCAGATTTAGTCTTCAGAGAAATAATTCTTGCAGCTGTATTCTGTACTTTCTGTAGTCTTGAGATATTGTGTTTGCTGAGGCCGATCAACAGTCCATTGCAATAGTCTAGTCTGGATAGCACTAGACATCTGACCAGGATGTGGGCACATTCCGCTGTGATGTACTTTCTGATGTTTCCTATGGATTTAAGATGAAAGTAACATGATTTGCATATTCTGTTGACTTGCTCCTGCAGTGAAAGGTCTGCGTCAATCTGAACTCCGAGGTCTTTCACAAGTCTCGATGTAGACACTTGTGCTGAACCAATTGTGACTTCATTTCTGAGATCAGTTAGGTGATGCTTTCTGCCAACAAGTAGAACCTCTGTTTTTTTCATCATTGAGTTTTAGTGTTTGGCCGTTCATCCATGATTTTATTCCGGCAGTGCAGAGTTCTAGTTGTTGGGCGGCTGGTGGTTGTAACGCAGGTGTGAAAGGCTTCAGGAGTTGGGTATCATCTGCATACGAATAGTCCGAGATTTTGAAGCTGTCGATGACGGATTGAAGCTGGTTTGTATAGATGAGAAAGAGGACTGGACCTAGGATGGAGCCCTGAGGTACACCACACGAGAGAAAGGTCTTGCTGGAGAGTTTATCTGCAGCTGATACAAGTTGATTCCTGTCTGTCAGATAGGACTGAAATCATGTCAAGGCTACACCATGAATTCTGGCGTGATGCTCCAGAATGTGCAGCAGTATCTCATGATCCACAGTATCAATGCTGCTCAAGTTGTTTATGTGTGGTTTGATGACAGCAGTCTTCATGTTATGCGGAAACACACCCTCCGATAGACTCTTGTAGATGATGTCTGTGATGACGGGCAGCATAGAGGTCATGTGATCAACAATCATTTTGTTTGGAATTGGGTCACTCAAACAGGTTGTTACATTTGATGATCTGATGAGAAGTCTAACTTCGTGCTGCAAGAATGGTTCAAACTTGAACAGGGTTGTTCCAGTGAACTCAGACTGAGTGCCTTGTCTTTTGACTGGACTGTTTCCATGAAAGAGAGTTTTAATGTTTCGGACTTTGGATTCAAAATAGCTGTTAAAGTCATTTGCTAATTTAGAGAAATCATCTGAATCTGGGAGAACACATTCTCTATTTGTGCTCAAGAGAGAATTCTTAAAGGTATGGAGATTTCGTGGCTTGCTTTAAAATTTCATTATTTCTTCTTTGCAAAATTGAGGTTTGGAGTGTTTAATCATCTTATTGACCTTGCTCCTGTAAGATTTATAAATCTGCCGATGAATACTGCCATCTGTTTGTGGTAAGTCTCATATTATTTTCAGTAGTTCAGGATTCTGGTTTATCCAGTCCAGACTAAGTGGACTTAAGTCTTAAGTGGCTGCACAGGTGGCCAAGTCATCAAAGTAAAGTCTGATCATGGGTTCGCATCCTAAAATTAATTATGTTTCGAGAAATAAATTCATAGCATTTTACACCCCTTCAGTGACTTCACCCGAGCTCTCATGGACTATAATACATACAGACCCCGGTTCGATTGCCTACATGGGTACAATGTGTGAAGCCCATTTCTGGTGTCCCCCGCCATGACATTGCTGGAATATTGCTAAAAGTGGCATAAAACTGAACTCACTAACTCAATCAAGGAGGTCACACAAATAACAATCACTTTGCAAATGTAATCGAATGTCCAGCAGCATCAAGGAACTCGAGTGATCTGGAGGTGCTCTTTTAGTCTGGGAAGTCTGGCATCCAGTCTGTCGATTCAATGTTCTTGATGTTTGATACTTACAGGAAGATGTTTGGGTGGGCTTTGGTGTTTGGGTGCTAATTGCACCGTTCTAATGGTTTTGGCACTACTGAAATAACAAGTTTTCAAAACTAAAATGCCTGTAATTGTTTTTTTACCTGATTATATGAAGTCCACAGAAACAAGAACTACAGAAATTCAATAGTGCTGAAATAATGCAAGCATGCAAGACAGTACTGTTTTAACATTAGTTTGTTTGTTTGGTGGTTTGGTGTTTTAGCAATATTCTAGCTATGTGACTGCGGTCTGTAAATATTTGAGCCTGGACTAAATGATCCAGTGACTTATGAGCATCAATCTACGCAGTAGGGATACGAAAACATGCATCAACCAAGTCTTCAACCTTGACCGTCTGATCCTATTCAACCTTGACCGTCTGATCCTATTCAACCTTGACCATCTGATCCTATTCAACCTTGACCGTCTGATCCTATTCAACCTTGACCGTCTGATCCTATTCAACCGTGACCATCTCATCCTATTCAACCTTGACCGTCTGATCCTATTCAAGCTTGACCGTCTGATCCCATTCAACCTTGACCGTCTGATCCCATTGGTCACCTCTTATTATAAGCGTGGATAGCTGAAGGCCAATTCTAACCTGGATCTTCATATGGTTTATAACATTAGTACACACTCATTAGTATACATGAGTGTTTCCATCAAGTATCTTGCTGTTTGAAACCTGGTTATGTCGTACTGACTGTCTTGTGGAGTAAACTCTCATCACCACTGAGAGACCCAGTGAGTTGGGAGATTCAGAACCTGATGAAATCTAGACTTGCTTTATTTAAGGCATTAGCATTGCAGAGAGGGCTAGGCAGTAGGGAAAATAATGTGGTTCAGGGACTGTGAGACAGACAGACTACTTCTGGGCTGCTCCCATGATTTTGATATCGCCTTGTCGCTATGCAGACCTATGCCATCTTCCATAGTGTGTCTGTGATAGATTTCCATTCTGTATTGCCTTCACGCCCCAGCAAAGCTCTGCAGGGTTGATATGATGTGTTCTGAATCAGGATTCTGTTAGGAAGCCATTATGGGACATCCTATAGCAACA